ACTTTTGGAGATCATCTAGTCCAACCCATTCACCACAGATAGAATAGTGGCTTATACCTTGTGACAGAGAGACAACTATGAGCTCACTATTTATGTGGCCTCATGCTGGTTATTTGCATTTGGTTGATCTGGGTCCACAGATCAGATGGAGCACTGAGAATCAGACGTGTGGACATACTTCGACCACTGAGCTGGGAACAAAATGCCTTAAACTGAATGTGAGCTTTGCTCATAGATATATGACATTATATGAGCCACAGTACTTAAATATTAGCATTCACATATATTTATGAACCAAGAAAGCAAGAGTGTCATTAGTATATTTTAATGTTATTTACTTTTAATTAAAAAAAATATACAACTGAAATCAATTGCTCTCCTTTTCATTGGTTCAATCTATAGAAAGATATTATACAAGCTAAATCATTTCAAATACCATACTTAGAAAAAAAAGAATGCAGAAGACTTCCATGCTATACAGAGACTTTCATGTTAAAATAGCTTAGTTTTAAAATTGCTTTGAAGTTACATGTCATATAGACTATTGGGATAGAGGGGAGGAGGTTAACTGCAGTGCGACTAGCTCCCCTGAAAGAATTTCCAAACAAAAGAGTAAAGCAGCTCATAAATGGAAGTTGTCTTTTTTCCTCTAAACCAGTAATTAAAAAGTACAATAATTCTAAGACAAAAAGTCTAATCTATTTTAGAAAAAAGCTAATGTTTGCTGCATATTTGTCATGGTACATTTAAATTATAGTTTTAATAAAATACATCTTTAGATCAAAGCTGGAAGAAGTCATCAGTAGTAGGCCAGTGTACTCCACATTTTTTGTTCTTCTGGATGATGGATGGCTTTTGTTGTTCGGATTTCCACAAACAATCTCATTAGGTATTGTTTTCCTCTTCTAGTAAATATAAACAGGAGAACTGGTAGACAAAACAAGAACAAAATCTTCATGTCCAATCACATGTTTAGACGTTCATCAGCTTAATGAGTTCATGCAGTTTTATATATAAGTCTAGGAATGGTAGTGCTGATGATGAAAGGTGGCTTTTGTTTTTCCTTTAAGATGACGGCATGAAATACAGCTTTTTGTTTATATGAAAGCAAAACCTGCCTGTTGAACACTTGCAGAACTGTTTGAGCAGTAAGCTAGGTTCAGGTGACTTATCTCTTGAAACTCTGGTCGTTCTGGTCTTAGTCTTGGTGCAGAGAGGAAGAATTTACTAGGAAAGTTAGAAATCATTTTTTTTTAAACCTGGTGGAAATCGTTTGAGCTTTCCACTCTTGTAAACATCCACATAATGCCATGAAAAAGTTCATGTATATTGCATTTTTTTTCCAGTTATCTGTCTATACAAGTTTCTACTTGGATGAGGTTCCTAGAGGTAATGTAGCTCAGACACTCCGTGGTGCCCTCTCAAATTCATGGGTCCTCCTGTTCCTACCTTTTTTATTCTCTTGTAGGTGCTTCCACTTATTCGTATTCACCTGTGTATTGGAAGGCCTTTGCCGACGTTGTTTGCGGTCTCTTTTCCAAACCTGCTCACAGAACTCATCCATGGTGTTGAGGTTGGGGTGATTGATTAACTGCATGAAGTCTCTATACCAGATTTTTTGACTGGGGGTCATACTATTGGTGGCATCCTTGATCTTGGAGGCATCACCATCTTCTTCTTTATGGAGCAGCTCTTCCAGGTGATCAGTATCAATTACTTCCAGGGTCACTTTGAGCAGAGTTTGCATGAAACCATGCTCCACAGCATGACAAAAGTAAATACCAGAGTCTCTCCGTTGAAGACTTCGGAGCAATAAACCCTGTTCTGTCCGTATCATTCGATCATCCACTTTTATCTGTATTAGAAAAAAAGGAAACATTTAAAAAGTTAGCTTTTATCAATGTGCAGAATTATTCTTTCATCATATTAACTCCTCAGTACAGTTCCTTCCAGTCAATGAAATCTCTCCCCTCCCAAACAAACAAAAACTACACAAATGGGCTGTGTTTTGCCAGTCATCTGTAGTTAGGGAAGGCTCTAGAAAAACTATTGATCTACTGCAAGTAATATTTTGCTCCTCAGTCCCTACTCAGTATTTGCTGGTAGATGATGCAAATGAGCAAATCAATGTACATCCATTTGGCTATACTACAAAGGACACTCTTGCCATGTTTTAGTCAAACTCAAATCACTACCTGGGGAAGGTGGGTTCTCTTCCTGAAATGTTCCTTACTGCAAAAACCTTTATGCATAGAAGTGTCCTCTGGACAAGTGGAAAGTTAACAAATAAATAACAAGGATTAAATCTCAAAATTTTAATATTCAACAAATAACTGTTCAAAGTATTATATTTTTTTCTGAATGAATCAACATCTAGGAATACATTTTCCTCCTCTAAATGCGTGTGAAGCTGTGGAGGAGAGGGGCAGACACCTCTTTGTTGCTCTCTCCATGAAGAAGTTGTTCGAAACAGTTTACTATTAATGTACTTAAAGCATATAACAAAAGTATACAAAGTTACTAATGTAAAAAAATAGCTAGTACTTGCTTTGGAAAAAAAGGCTTCAAAATACTTCAAAATACTTCAGTGTGATGAACAAGTTTTTGCTTTCTAATTTGGTGTCCCTACATACTAGAAAGCAGATTATTTTCTATCAAAAGACTGTGTGACCTAGCTTGACAAATGACTTGAGAACTTGGCTAAGTAATAGCATAAGAATGTTGGTGACAAGAGAAGGAGGAAAACAGAGTATCAGCCTAATGTAATACATGCAGGGAAAGTCAATTTTTACCTCTGTGAATATTGAAGCAAAATATGCACAATATGCACACAAGCTTTCATATCCTTTGGCTTCATACAGTTTCCAGTCTGTCATTCTGCCTCTTTGTCTTACCCGTAGTTAAGACTTACAGCATACAGTACATAAACATTCTGTTGTTTCTTTCAGATAAATAGTATAATAATAATAATGGAGTTAACCCCCTTCCCTCTCCCCCAGAAGAAAATTTTCATGTCTTTGAAATATTCGGATCCCAAAATAAGTCTTCCACGATGATTTTAGTGGAACTTTGGATAGTATGCCAGCTTTTGCTGATAATCTGCAAAGGGAAAATTGAGTATATCTGAATTGTTGATTCTCAGATATTGTTGAGATCTGAGGTGTATCTGAATGGAAGGGCAAACAGTGTTTTGCTGAAAAGAACTCAGATTCAAGTAATTTTCATAAAAAGGAGTAGATGCATTTTTTATTTTTTTCTACTCTACCTCTTCTTTGCGGTCATCATTTTGTTTCTGGAATTGCCAATAGACTACGGCACGCTGAGATTTTGGACTGCACTCTAGAAAAGTGCTGCTATTCTCTACTCCATAGATAATCTTTTCCTCCAGGGTCTGGCCACTTGGGTTATCTGTAAAGAAAGAAAGAAAAAA